AGGACCAATTGTCAAAATTTTGGTGTCGATCATTCGATTTCATCCTGGACACTACAGAAAATGGGCTAAAAGTGTTAAAAACCGGAATTCTCCTTTAAAGTAAATTGATGTAAGGAAAAAAAAAAAAACATCATTAACTTTAACCTCCGATAAAATATCCAAAACAAGCGTTGATCAGAAACTATCCCACTCAGTTTTATTTGAAGGTAATAATTATCTATAAAATAATGATAATTATAAATATTATCAATATCTCACTTCTCATAAGCAGACTACCCGAAAGAAAAGCAATAAAAAGATGAGAATAGCAAAAGACAAAAAGATAAAATAATATAAAATTTGGGAAAGTTCTCAGTGAATTGAAATAAATAACACTTTGGGCATTGTAGATATTTAAATTTCCATATCCTCCAATAATACATTTTTGCTGAATTAATCACTGTTGCCTCTCAGATGTAACCAGCTGTCTTTGGTTAGACTGTAACACTTGTTGGTTTATAAAATGAACAATAATCTCCATTTAGAAATAGGATTTGAAAAAATATTTTCAAATTGCACTATTCAATAATGTCTTGATAAATACAATTAACATTTCCTCTTTAAAAGTTCTATTTAAAATGTGCAATTAGAAAATGCTTTTTAACTGGTTTCCCAATTGTATGATTTAAAATAAATTAAAAATAGGCGTTTTTTTTTCTATTTTTAGTGAATCTCAAAGTTCTCAATAGGTAGGTTGCATTAAATTATTTAAGAAATCAGATGCAAACCACCTTTTTCAAATAAATAAAGTGAAATAAATAACACTTTGGGCATTGTAGATATTTACATTTCCACATCCTCCAATAATAAATTTGGGCTGTTGAGTCATCAGAATGTGAACTGAGTATTGATGAAGGCACAAATATGCAAAAAATATAAAATAAAAATGAAATGCTGCCTGTTGAAACACACGAGCAAATCATTTTACACCTTCTCTGCATGTGTTGCTACACAGCTTCCTAAAAATGGGCATCTACCCTATTCAGATTAGTGAGAATCTACAAAACTAAGGACTTTTTCCAACACAGAAATTCTGCTCATAAATCTTCAGCATTGTTCTGCTCTGTGTTTGGACAATAAAACCTAAAGAGAACCAAGTAAGCAGACCAACCCCTCCTCTCTGGCCGTCCACATGAATACCCCTGATATGCTCAGCCAGGTCAGGGCTGGAGTTGAAGCACTGTGGACAGCGGTCCCAGCAGCAGTTGTACGACATAGTCTTAGTCGCTGAAGACCTGGCGCTGCTCTGCCCGTTCAACAGTGCAGGAGTGGAACGCCCACTGGAACCTATGCTCTCCATTTCTGTGGTGGTGCTGCAGACACTGAATGGAAGAAGTAAAGGAACGCTTCATTATTAACCGTCATAAAACATATGGATCAGGCTTTGCTAAGACATGAGGAACAGGAGCAGATTGTTTCAATGTAAAAAAAAGATCAAATAAAAATATTTAGCAGCCTTATTCTGATTTTTATGTTTGATAGGATAGGACAGTTACTCTTCTTCCAGACATGATAACATAAAGAGATGTTGTGATGAGTAGTTTATACAAACTCTGATCAACTTTAGTGGAAATGAGGAAAAAAAATCTTTTTTAGAAGGGTTCCTTTTGGCAGGGGTGGATATAGGAAATTTGGGGCCCTAGGCAAAGACAGGCAGGGGGCCCTCTGAATTGAGAAGCCAACACATAAAACAGACCCATTATACAGATATAGAATTTTTTAATAGAATATACATAGATTATTTGTTCTATCTTTTGTCCCTCTCATATTCATTTTCTTGCTGTTTTCCTCTGTTTTCTTTTGTCTCTTTTTCTTTTCATATTGGCAATGTGCTAAGCTGACTTTTAATTACGGAAGAGGATTAGGGCCACTGAAAAAAAAAAAGTAAACTGATTTTTAAATTTGATTTCAGTTTAACATGGGAAAAAAGTCAAAAT